CTAAATTAAAAATAATAGATGTTAATATTATTGAATCTAAGTTGGTCAGTCAGGAAAGTAGTTTCTGTCCGTAGTTTCATGAGCTACTGTAACTCACTGTCGAAGTTCTATGCACTGGTTCTCTCCATAAATCATTCCTTTAAATTAAGTTTTAATTCATTTCTTTAAATGCAGTTTTAAAATATAATCTTAGATGAACTTGAAGGAATCTTAAGATTTCAAACAAACAACGCAAATCGACTAAAAGCAACGAACGGCTTATAAGGAGCAAAGAGAACCGATTCCGGCGACTGTCGATAGGTTTGGGCCATTTTCAACGCAAGTGCAAGAAAGCAAGTTTTAATTCAATTTTCTACTTACGCATTCGCCATCTTTAGGTATTAAACTACGAAGTTATTATAAGTTACGTTAATGTTAGCCCTAAATAAAACACTGAAACGTATCTCGAATTGAAATTAATTAATAAACAATTGATCGATAAATCTTTGAGTTTAATTCAGTTCTACTGAATAAATTATGAATTTTACTCTACTTGTCATTTAAAATGCATAGGGTGATCTCAAATACTTTATTTTATGACAGGTTTTATCGGAATAGAATTTATTACACAACCTGTCGAAATTTGCATTAAGCGGATCTATAGTAATATAAGCAGAAAGACTTGGAATATTCTTTGTTTACCTCAGGTGCCTAGTTTTTGTGCGCTTTTGATATCGTAAATATTTATTATACCCTTCGCTGTTTGCAGTACATTGTACATACGAAACCCAGAAGACCTTGCGGTAGATTTAGAATATTTTCGTGAATCGATAGTAAGTTTGGTTATCCGTCTACCTCTCTAATGTCTGTCTATGTGTTTTTATATTTTGTGAATCCAGTTGAATTTTTCATCTTGAATAGGTTCATTCCAGAGTACCAGAGATATTGCTTCAATGCCGAAAATGCAACTGTGCAAAAGCTTCACAAAGAAACCTTAAATTAGATTGGAAAAATGTGTAAACACTGTTAACTTTCTTAACCGAGTAAAGCACTCTCGCAACCAAAATAAAATATTTTATTTGACAATTTTTTTTGGTATAAAGGGAAGAGTAGTATAACACAGTATTCGAGAATCCTATTCAGCAGGGCTTCAAGTACTAGAATTTTGGAAAAATATTCATAGACGGCAACATCGCAGCAATTCACTTTTAAAAAAGACATAGGAACAACCCTTTATCTCTAGACTATATCTCTAGACTATAAAGCTTTAATGATACTGTAAAAAATTCGGATGAAAAAATTGAAAATTATCCTGCGCGCAAGTTTGAGAAGTGAGAGACATGTTTTCTGATTATATTAAAAATTTGTTGTCCTTTTTTTCTATTACCTGGACATTCCAGCGCCATAAACATATCTTTCAAAGTTGATATTTCTTCTCTTTCCTCGACGATTTTTTGCTGCAACGTGACTTTTTTGCTACATTTGTCAACAATAACATCGAACGTTTTACGCTGTGTATGTTTCGAAATTGTCGAAAAAATTACAAAAAAATGCCTAATTCTATAGTCGAATCCATAGCAATGTTGAAAAGCTTTATTCCAAACTTTTACTATCTTGGTAGAAACAATAAAACTCATATCTACTTGAAAGGTACCACGACGAAGATATATTAATCTATTATTTTTGTTATACCCATCACCGAAGTGTGATTATGGAAATGGTTGCAAAGCCCGGAAGGAAGCCTCCGAGACCCCACAAAGTGTGTATATTCTTGATCAGCATCAACTTCTGAATCGATTTAAGCATGTCCGTTTGTCCGTCTGTTTGTCTAGCTGTCTGTCCACCTGTTTAGTATGCGTTGTAAACATTCTCTTGACCGCAAATACGAAGGTATCGTCTTCAAGGTTGGCAGAAACATTAGAAGTTTTTGCACAGGACCATGTAAACTGAGAACATATCTGTTTTTCAAAAGGAATAAAGACTTTGTTTTCGATCATTACTCATAGCAGATAAATTTATAAAAAATTGAACGCTTGGTCTATGCGCGATGCTGTAGTACATGGAGAAAAATTGACCACGTCCACCCAATATTATAGTGTCTCAAAATTACATTTTTTTTTAAAACCTTTATAAGCCGCAGCCAACAAGCCTTAAAAACTCCATAAAGTATATAAATTCTCGGCCAGTTTCAAATTTTGAACGCACCTAAGCATGTCCGACTGTTCGTTTGCCCATCTGTCTGCCTGCGCAACTGTGTAGTATCTGCGATATACATTGTCTTGTTAGCGACCCAAACTTTCCAAAAGACACGCCCGCAACGTCTACACGTCTGTGTGACAGACACTTTTATTCTGAAGTTTGGAAAAATCAGCCCCGCTCGCTCCAGTTTTTTCACTTTTTCAGTCTTTTTTAGGATAATAACACCCGCCTGAGTAGCCGAACGGGAGGGATCTCGACTAGCAAGTCAATGGTCGTGGGTTCGAATCTCAAGTGCGGTAGAGCTTTTAATAAAAGCCGATAGCCTTAGATGCTAGTGCTTTTAAGAGTTTAGTCTTAGAATTTATTTCTGTGGCGAAATTAATAATAATAATAATAATAATATCATAAAATACTAAAAATTAAACCTTTTTTTAGGGCCTACTATTCATGAGGAACCTTATATGAAAAGGGACCTATGTTGTTCAAATTTTTATAAAAAATGATTCTCTTGATTAGATTTTTATCATAAAACATAAGTAATCAAATCTTTTTAAAATATAGGGATCTACATATTCCGAGAATCCTTATATGGGGGGTGGTATCCGGTAACGCTGAATTATCTGCTAATTTATCATTATGCTCCAATATTCAACATGAAATATTAAAAATTATACCTTTTCATTATATGAAGTTTTAGCAATCGTAAGAATTGTTACATGGGAGGGAGCTGAACAGATTCACATCAATTTAGAATGTCGTAGTACTATTACTCAAAGAGTTTTTTCGAAAAATGTAGGCCTGTATATGAGTGGTCCCACCCGAACCATTTTCAATAGCATTTATTCTACGTTCACGGCACCTCAGTGTACTGACTTTCATCGAAATATCTGAGAAGTTGTGACCTGTAGGCCGTATAAAAAAATACTTGGACGGACAGAGAAGCTATCTTAACTCTGAAATACATGAATTGTTATTTTTAAATTGGAATGAAATTGTACTCACATGGCCTGAGAAATAGACTGTCCAAGGTTGCTATAAAAGGAGATATGGTGTTTTAAACATAGACAGCAGATCTGCGCAGGCGTGCATTGCCCTTCTTGTGTCAAGCCCTCCTGGGCGTTACATACGTTTGCACAAACTGAATACAACCTGTAAAGCAAGATATAAAGAATTTTTTTCAACACTTTGGTCCTAAGAACCAATAAAAAAACTGCTGCGTATAGAAATCTATAACATTGACTTTCTGAAGTCGTCTTAGATCAAAAAAAAAAAATAAATTTGTTTTTTTTTGGCTTTAAAGATTCTTGTGAAAAGGGAGGTGAATCCATTGGTCGAAGATTTTTAAATTAATTGCAATTGTTGTTCGCATAACGCTACTCCATACAAGAAAGATATTTTCCCGTTCCATTGAAATGGTATTTTATCGATGAAATTTCTGTTTTCTATTTGTTTTCGTTCAACTGATGCGTCATTCATTTTTGACAGTTTAATATATTTTTCATTGCTTACGAACGAAAAGAAAAAAACAGATTAGTCTCTGTTGAATTGTTTGCGAATTTGGCACAAGCTTTCCTTATAAACTGCTTATGAGACTTGAATGCTTTCAAAATTGATTTGAACTTATTTTATCTCCTGCATCTCCTGCATTCGTTATAAACTTTCCCAATTATACGATAGCTTTTACTTATATGTTTTTTTATTTTAAAACCAAACAATGAAATAAAATTTAAACGTTTGTGTTTGTCTCTATGATCTAACTTCGACAATTCTATCAAATAAGAAAATTATGTTCGCTTGCAATCCACTAAGCGTTTTTGTCTATATGTATATAATTGAATGTGCCTTTTACACGTGTCGTTCTGAAAATATGAAATCATTCATTCGCTCGAAGTGAAACCTTTACGTAATATTTGTTTTGGACCGAGGAAGCTGCACTAGATGGCCAAACTTCTATGCTATGCAAGCGTAACCAGTGTATGTTACCAGTGTAATGTTTATTTTGACTGGAAAAAACATTACTATTCAATTATCCAATGAAGCGACGCAGAACATGATTTCGGGAGAAATGATCTTAAACAAATCGATTAATACAACGCTCAATAGAGATGACGTTCAAGATTCCTTGAATTCCTTTGAATTGTCAGAAATACTACGCGACACTGTTCCCAAGTTCATGACCTGAGAGCTATTGGTTTGTGTTGTATTATCAAACAAAAAAAGCGACTATATAGCGGGACACGGCCCATCATCTGTTCGAAACCATATCCGATAACGTTCGTCCTTGGGTTAAAGCATGTCGGTGTACAGAATTTCATCAAAATATCTTGAAAATTGCGGACAGAACAAACAAGACTGACGGGCGGACAGACGGACAAACCACCTTAAACCTATTCAGAAAGAGATTAAACCTCGACCGATATAATAAAAGCTAAATCTATGCCAAGTCCGTCACATGCATCCGCACGAACCCATTATATCTTTCTCCACAAGTGATGTAGGGTATAAAAGGTTCAATGAAATATCGAAAAAATACTTAAAACAAATATTCAATCCACCTCTACTTTGGAACGGCACCAAGTTAAACATCAAAAAGCTGTTATCGGACCAGTGATTTTGAATGACAGATTCAAGGGAGAAAATGTTTTACTGCAAAGCATTTCAATGCTACTAACAGAGTTGCCGACCAATCTCCAACGATACCGACCGATGTTTTCAATAACGATAAACAAGTCCCAGGGATGATTCAATTCAATTTTTGAAAATCCTTGTTTTTCACATGGACAACGGCATGCTGTTCACGTGCTCAGAAGCCTACAGCACTATTTGTACATGGACCAAGCAGAAAAACAAGAAATGTCATACATGAGAATGCTCGAGTTTACAGCAACATTTCCCCTATTTATTTCCGCTCTCTCTTGATATATTCGAAACGAAGTCCAGTTGGTCACCTATTTTTAAAAAAAGGACATGAAACCGTATGTACTATAGCGTATACTATATATTATATTTGCATGATCGATTTTTTCCATTTTTACTTACGCACTGTAAGGTCACGCATAGAATGCAATTGGAAAATATGTTTGCATCCGTTGTAGTTTACAGCAAATAAACGAACATTTCAATTTTCTTTTCTTTTTATGCCCACTACTGTAAGATGATGGTATACTCATTTTGTTTTTTTCCATAATGCATGTAAGACCCAAAAGGATGCTTAAGCGACCCTATAAAGTCTATATACATATTCTTGATGAGCGTGACATTCAGAGTTGATTTAGCCATGTCTGTACGTATGTGTAGGGTGCGTTGTTGGCACTCTCTTGGTCGCAAAAATGAAAATATCGACTTCAAATTTGGTAAAAACATTGAGAGTTTCTGCACGCAGGTTGATATTGGAAATGGTCCCTAACTTCGTTAGAGCGGAAGCGTGCAATGGAGGATAAATTGAACGCAAATCGAACTCTTTTAACAAAAATTTTTGAATTTTTGTTCGTTACTCGGAAATAATTAAAATTAAAAGGACGAAATTTTCCATTTCTATTATATAAAACACTCTTTAGATCCAATTGGACCAATCGGCAAAACCCACACAAAATGACGAGTAATTAAATTATATTTTTTTCACATCCTTGAGATTTTATGCTGATTTATCATAAAGAAAACAAGACAGAATGTTTAAAACTATTTTGGACACTCCTCAAATGAACATATGTTATTTGCCTAAAAATAGGCTAATTTTAGAATGAATATGTTAGATACCGCGATTATTTTTTTCTTAATAACACCAGCGATATGGATATCAAGTGGAACAACCTGGAAAGTAGAATGCAAACAGCATAGTAGTGAGTAAGCGAGGTTCGGTCCCCCAAACAACAGAACTTTCTTGCTTGCTTATTTTTTTTTGCCCCTGAAAACAGAGGTGTTCTCAGTTCATAGTGCACTGCATATTTGCAGCGGTTTTGCCCAATCGAAAACCGATGTTTTACTTTTTATAATCAGGGAAGCGAAACATTTACCGTTAGCAGATAGATAGACGAACACATGTGAGTTAGTACAGAGTTTAATATACTGATCAAGAACATACATATACATATAGCCCCTGAAGCTTCCTCTTTAATGTTGTAGATATTTTGACAAAAACCTTGAGGCTTATTAATAGTATAAAATACAAGCAAAAAAACCTATTTTTATATAACCTTCCCTAGTTCGATCTCTGCCATGGACTGATTACATATTTCTATTTATTTGTAAGCGGCACTATAGGCCACTTTGGTCCTGATGCATAAATTTGAGTACAGCGTCTTAAAATGAATTTATGTCTGTCAAGGATTTACGATTTCGTGAACGCACTTAGTGTGCACGTCGCGAGATTGCACTCATCTTCAAATTTGATCTCTAGCTATCGTCTAATTTATGTCAAATTTCAAATTTGTCACCCAATTTTTGTAAATCGTATTTGTAATTCAGTGGCATGCAGAATGACGGATGGACATGCCTAAACCAAGTTTTAAGCAACTCTGAGATATTTTATATAGCGAATAATTAGTTAATTACTCCCACAATAATCGGATGAGGCAGATTCGATCATCGGGTGCGCTCTGAGATAACTGAACAAATGAAAACATTATAGCAGGACACGGCCCACAATTAAATATTCTGCACGACTTCGTTTAATACGATTATTCATATAACGACTATTTAAAATAGTACTTTGTATGGAAAGGGAGTAAAAAGACTGTCCGATCTGACTCTTTTCGATAGCGTTCCTCCTTGGGCCATTAAATATTGGTTTACCAAATTTCATCAAAATATTTCAAAAATTACAACCTATAGGTTGAACACAAGAAGGCAAGACGGACACACGGACACATAATATAAGGCGGCTCTATCTCAAGTCAAGTCTCAATATTACATACATCCGCACAAACTTGATATACCATTGCACCATATCGAAGCTTCTTATATTTGCACATAAAATACTACACAATACACGCAGGATGAGTGGCTATATATATATATATATGTAAGGATCTTTGGATGAGTACTTTTGTGACCATACCGGAAACGTTAATAGTTTTGAAGGTTCAGTGTTGGCGGCTGTAAGGAATAAGTGCTGTGATATGATGCTATACACAGTACAGTGTGTCACGCACATTCTTTTGATCTGGCCTTTCTCTCTCTCTCTCTCTTCTTTCCCACTCACTTTTCTCGTTTTAACGAAGTAAATTATTCTTTATGTTGTGGTTTTTATTTTTCTTAAACCGCAAGCTCTACCACAACTCAATCCTTATGTAAATATAGAGTGAGCTTGAAACGTGGCGCATACGACATACACATAACATACACACACACTCTCTGCCTGATAAGCATCCATTTTTATACGTTGTGGCATTTATTTTGCATAATTTGTAAATTTCCTTCAGTTTTTTTATATTTATTTTTGTGTCTTTTACTGTTTTATACTTCCTGCAGTTGTTTTTTTTCTTTTCTTTTCTTTTTTGTTTGTTTTTTTTTTTTTTTGCTCCTTAAAAACAACTATACTCGTCTAACTGTCTATCCGTACATTTTCTACTTGAATTGTATTCTTATGCATAGAAATACATTTAGATACACACATACATAAAAACACATGCACTTACCTATACTCATGCATATATAAATATTTTATTTTATACGCTTTATACGGAAAGCTAAAGTAGATTTATTTTAAATGCGGTTGTGCCGCTTGGATGGTAAGAACTTCAAGTTCAATATTCTTAAAAAATAGCAGACATTAGACATTACTTTGTTTTGTGGTATAAATGTGTCTGTCTGTCTTCGCATGCCTGCCATTGCATACAACTAGCTAGATACCGCCTAAGTGGGAGTATCATCACAACAAGTTCCGATTCCCATACTTTGTATGGAAAGTAAAAAAAAAAAAGAATACAAAAAACAAAAAAAAATGAAGAAAAAGTAATAGAATAAAGCTAGAAAGGAGAGGAGTTAAGTAGACAACAAACGAAAAAGTAAAATGACTTTTGTTTTTATGCGTATTAAGTGTAAGAAGTAGAACTTTACAGACACTCGAGAAGCACGCAAATATTTTATGTATAAAATTTTACCATAACCGCCGTCATATCAAAGCAGGGAAGTTACACAAATTCTATAAAAGCAACAACAACTATTATAATGGTAATGCATAAACTACATGTTGATTGCGTACATAAGTTTTTCTCTTATCCTTTAACGCAGACATCATCTTCACTGCCAACGTACATGTATACACATACATATAAAATGCCATTTAACTATTGCTATTGCTATAACGCACGCTTACACGCACATATACACGCAAACCTATAGATTGTCCATAAATGTTAAGAATCGCATATCAATGAAATAAAACATTAAACATTACTACTTCTTAATTTCCAACTCCATTAGTTCACACTTGAAACACACTTATGTGGTCTTAAATAATTCTACAAAAAATCTTCATTAACTGATTTAGAGATTTTATATAGATATTGTGAGGATCAAAGTCGCAAGGCTCGTTCTGAGCTCGTACTTAGACACAAGTGCATTCAGCGTTATTTAAATTCATTAACGTAAGCTTGTCCTTTGTAATTTATGTTATATTTAACTCCTTTTGATATTAAGCTCGTACAGCTGCATAATGATTTTTAGGATTAGTCTCGCTTCTATTTACAAATCTTAAGACATTTAATTAGAAATTATTTTCAAAAAATTATATTTGCAATGCTTTAAGTGTCGTTCTAATCTTGTCCGTTCGAATATTTCATTTCAACTTTCTTGACTCGGCTCTCTCGACTTACTTTTCAACTCCCGCTCAACTCACTGTCTACACGACTGACCTTTCCAACCTTGTCGCCTTCCGCAAATATTCTGCTTATATACTCTTTCACAAGCAAGCTACGAATACCTAAATTAGTCGGGAAATTTTCAAGACATTAATCCGTTTTTTTGCTAAACTTCTACCAGTTGTTGTTAATCGTTTCACCGCTGAGTCGCGAACTGCATGACGCATCAGTTAGGGCATTTTCGTAACAACGCATTGCTAATTAAATATAGTTTAAGTTATTTTTACTTATTGTTTGTTCACTTTTCTTATACAAAGTTAAGAATTATAGGCGTAGAGATGTTTGCTATCAGCACCAGAATGAAATGTGAAGTACCTCAGCTGAGATATTTCGAATGTAATCAATTAACCGATTGGCAAGGCCAGCTTGAGTAGGGACATAGAGGAGAAAAAGATTGCTTGCCCTCTTCGTTCTAAATCGAATCATCGTCTGAATAATACTCACCCAAGCACAGGACTAACCGACAACCATACCTAAATGAATTCCCCATAGGAATGCGGCAAAGTTTCTCTAGTTGACCGTCTAGGTAGACCAGCAATGACAGACAATAGGCTGGAATGTATAAAGATCGATCACTTAACCCCAATAGCATTTCTTTGTCTACTTTAAGCCGTGAGGTTATATGATAGTCATAATTACGTAGAAAAAAGTCATTACAAGTAACATAACCGTTCGTTTTTATTCGGCTGCATGTATTATGGCAGTTAGCCGTTGGATTCGATAAAGCAAATGCTATCCATGGAAGATAAGTCTCTTCTTAAATATTTCCCTTATGTATGAACGAAGTTGAGTAGTAAGGTTTAATAGGGCAGTAGGATCCGGGAAAATAGAAACATCGAAGGTAACTGTTCACTTGTGCTTACCAAATCCTGGCTCAATTACTACATATTTCATTTTCTTCACATTATAGTCGGCAGGCAGGTAATTCCCGGTCCACTGATTCGACAAAGAGAAGGTTATTTTTTTTTCTTTGTATTGTTCATGCAATAATGTTTTCATTACTCACTCATAACATTCCTTGACAATGAAACTCTTAACGCGTTGTTGATTTGCGAGCAGTTCATTATAGTATTTTTTTCCACTGCCCGAACTTTTTTTGCGGAAGATTTCTTTCCTTTGTTTCTTGTCTTTTTAAAAGAAAAGTAAAGCGAATGCAGGGAATAAGTCAGGAGACTGGAAAACACACGCACCGCGGAATCTTATTTGTGCAAACACATATCTTTGTGCAGACACTGCAGCGTGTTTTATGAATTCAGGCGATTCTTGTAGATTAGAAGGCTGGAGACAGGAAGAGTTATCTGTTTACTCCGATAACGTTTTGAAATTTTGATCTGAGTTCATTCCTGTAGCCTGATGCAATGATTTTTGCTAAGCGTTAAAAAAAATAAGTCAGTACCTGTTCATATATGAGACACAAGACACAAATATGACCAGCAGAAGAAATAAAAAAGTGCAGTATTAAAAAAAAAAAAAAAATGAGGTTCGCAACAAAAAAAGTAATTGCTCTAAGTTACAAAATATCACGAGTGAGAAGAATTTTCAATAAACAAGTAAATAAAACTTGTAGAAAAAAAAAAATTGCATTCAAAATGCGTTAAATGATTGAAGTTAATTATATCAAATTTTATTTTGAATATAGGTTCTCATCAACTGACGCGGAAGGTTCGATCTCCCAGGAATCAAAAAACATACTTCCCACAGGGGCTTAATGCTAAAAATTGGATTGATTTTGCACGAGAGTAAATCAATTTCGCTACGCGGTCATCGTTTAGGTACTGAAAGATGGATGCTCGAATTATTGTTCCGTATTGGCATTTTGGAGCCGTATTTGAGGGAAAAAATAGTATCACCAATTTATAACTTTTAACCATAAAAAATAACTTTCTCATATAAAGAGGAATCACAATAACCTGATACCCAGAACAGATGGCAGCCATCGATATGTACTTTAAACGCGTATTGATCAGGTGGACCATTATCAAGAGCAGAGTTGACTTGCTGCCGAAAAAAACAACAAATTTTCTGTGATCGTTTGTGCTGCCATGCTTGGCAGCGCCGAGAACGAATCTTCCAACATTTTGACTATGCGATGCTTCAAATAGCTATAATAGCCTGGCTACGTGGGGGTTGATAGATCCATCAGACGCCTCTCTCTGTTGTAATGCAAACTAACATTTTCTTGGCTAATTATCTGCTCCTATCATCAAGATATATATATGCAAAGACGAATAATAATAAATAACTTATTATTTTTGAAACAACGCTATTATACATTGTATAAATATATATAAATTTTTATTTGTGCATATAAATAGATTAGGCTTGTTGACAATAAAATCAATATACGCACTAGAGTGATAAATTTTTATTTGTTGATCTTTTGCGCTTTTTGATTGATGACGGTACTGTAGATGATACTTGCAAAAACATGATGTCGCAATTCTCCTTTATTAAAAATATATTTTTTACTGCTTTTTCTTCTGGAATTCAGCAAATCAACAATTGATTTGCTGCGTGTAAAAAAGGTTCAATGTGAACGTAGTCAGTAAGCCGGTAATTGTATTTCAAGATTCCATTCGTGGAGACGAGTTTTTATTTCACAAAGTATTTAGCGTTCTTTACGCCGAAAAAAACATATAAAATATGACGATTAAGTAAAATGCCTTTATTGATGTTAGTAACACGGCTGCGGGGCTTTCGCAAAATCCGGAACCCATAATAGCCAATAAAGCCAACTATGGGGAGCTCGCAAAATTATACACATATAAGCCGAAGAGAAACTTTGGTCCATTCCCTGAAGATAATTTGCATACTTTTTGTTGTCGTGCCAAAGACAAAACTATAAGACGTTTATTCTTCTTTTGAACCTTGATAAAGTTAACTTTTTTTTTTGGAATGTTAAGATGGAAAGTTATTAATAAAGTTTAATATTATCATTTATTTGAGTTTCTTCTCTGTGTCCATCTGCCGTTTGTCATATAAATGTAACAATCGGCTGATTTTGACATCCCTGGTAATCTTCTTGGCTATAGCATTGTTGTAATGTTTTAGGAATGCCGAGGCAAATGCCAAATTCCTATTTATTATTTGTTCGTATGCGACGCAGCTGTTTTTGTTGTTCTCAGTAAAGGATATTAATTATTATGTAATATGTGTTTTTAATTTAGTTCTGACTGGTTTGTAATACTAAGCACTATAAATAAATTTAAAAAAATAAAGTCTTCAAAATACTAGTTTAAAGCAATCTCATCCATAAAGTTTTTTTTCTGTAATCCTTAAACGTTTTGTAACATTTTAAAAGCGTTTGCCTAAATATAGTTGTATATTGTAGCATTGGTAACTCTGTGTCTGCTTTTTTTCAATTGTACGGAAAAAGCATTCACAGTAGAACATTTACAGGAACAATACAGCTGGATTTTATTTGTATACAGATCTAGTGTTAATGCAATGATAATATTTAAAAGATATGAATTTCTTAACAATGGTAAACTTCAAATTCATTTATTTTATTCATAAAAAGTTTATTAAGCAAACGATTTTGTAGTTAAAAGATTTCCAAAGTATGGGATGCACAGATCAAAGTAAATGCGCGGTTGCCTGTCGCGTCTACATGGATTTGATGGAAGGTAAAAAAGTGTTAGTGTAAGTTTCCCTAATAATTATATAGCCCTAAGAACACGAAATTCATATTTTAATTAATTGTGGCTCTATCATTGCGCTCAAAACTTTTTAATTATTTTTTCATAAAATAAAATATTTTGTATAAAAATTTCTCTCGAACAGATAAACGTTACACCGATATAGAAAAAATATTTGACGAGAACTTGAATATAATTTATTTAAAAACGCAGTTTTCGACCAATGGCTTAGTAACTATATTACCTACGCTGGACTGCCAAGAGGTAGATTTTCAATTGATTGAACAACTACAGAGAAAAAATGAAAATAAAAGGTAATTAAAAAAATATATATCTAGTTTGCAATGATTTACTTTATTTTAAAATGATTTTTTTCGCAGTTTAACTTTAGCTATTTGCGATACATCGTCAAATATTTTATACTATAAACTTTCCAATGGTTTTGTGGACAAAACATGACTGTTTTTAGGCGCCTTCTAATGTTAAATAAAGCACTCTCTTCTCTTTTCATTTCGTTAAACACAAGCAAAACTTTTTTCTTTTTTTGGTAAATTAGATGAGAATTTGTCGTAAAAACATTATAGCTTCTAAACTACACATAAGCTTGTTATTATATCCACTGCAGAGGAACGTGGGTATATTCGCAGTATCTGCATATTGGATAGTAACTTTTATCACTTTAACAGAGAAAAAATTATTAAGGAATTTTTATATAATTTCTTAGAAATAAATATGTAAATAATGTTTAATGCAAATAAAATATAAAGCAGTCTTGATTTATTACAAATAGTAAGTGCAGGCGCAAGCGCACGCAAACATTTTTGCCATAGCATATATTCTATTTGCCTATAGTATGTTTTGAATAAAATTGTACGCGATTCATATTTAGAAAAACGGCGACAACTGAATAACGTACATGCAAGTTCTTAAGCAAGTGCATGGACAAACGCGCTACTATTGAAAACATATGCCCGTAATGTATAATCGTAAACATACACACTCACAAAAAAAAAAAACGTGTGTATAAAATCGAACATTGCATTAACAACAGCATTGCAAGATTTTGCCTTTACGGTCTTGTGTGTACGGAGCGGGCCAGTTTTTGACGAATTTCGAGGTGATGGACCCGGACCAGGGTAACGAAATTAGGTTTCCCTGATAGGTTTTAGCGTCACTTAAGACATATGAAAAATCTGCGATAATGAAAATTCGTTAAAATTTTTCACACAAACGATATGTATATACCAACTTTTCGCCAACAATGTTTATGTACTTTATGGTAAATACAAGAAATATTTATTTTTAATTTCTTAAAACATTTTTGCATCATTTTTTATTTTATTTATACTTTCTATTTTTGTTTAGTTTTTTTAATCATTTTGTAGCGTTCAATTATCAATTACCTTAGCATAGGCGCGAACCCAAGTGTGAAGACAAAGACAAAAATGTGAGCTAGATGTAGTGGGCTAACTTCATATCAGTGAAAAAAAATGATAAAACGAAAGCGAATGTAATTTGTTTTGGATTCATAGCTTTTATCAGCACTTATCGAAGGTTTCTAAGTTTTATATACGGTAAGTGCATCAATAAATTGACCATTGAATTGAATTGAGTGACCAAATTCTATAGATCTATAATGATTGGTTTCGTAATTAATAAAAAAGGTATTTTAAGAAATAAAAGTCATAAAATGGTTTGTTTTTTTTTTTTTTTTTTTTTTTTGGAAAACGTAAGCGGCTTATAGCTGATTTTATTCTGTGCAAGTTACGTCTGTTGTGGGCGGAAATTTTCTAAAAAATTTTCTATTTACACGTGTTTGTGAATCCGCATATCCTATAGAGAAGTACATGCTTCTATCGAGGAGAAAAGGAATCTGTTTAGCTTATGACGGTAAGCGGGGTATTCATTGACAGAGGGATTTATGGTGATGTCAAGGTGGAAGACAATTGCCCTCTCTAGTTACTTGTATCGATTCTTCAAAGAACATAGAATTTAGATAAGTTCATAGAATAACAGAAGAAATATAAAGTTTTTAAAAAATTGAACGGAATATTTATTACTATGACTATTTCAGACTTCGTTTCTTTCTTCTTGGCTGGTGTAACGTGGTATTCGTTTTTCTTCTTTTTAGTTTGCTGATAGGAGTGTAAGGGGCATTATTTTATAAACTCCTATTTATTCTCCTTTTTTGATAGGCGTTTTTCAATCGGTATTTCGGGCACTTGCAAATGTTCGATCATGCTGAAGTTATGCACACACTTTTAATCGCGCTGTGGTACAGCCAAGTTTTCCGAGGATTCAAAATGAATGCCGCTGCAAAATGGTGGATTAGTTTTTTCTGAACAACTCCGTTGGTATAAATGTCAAATAAGAGGGCTTGAAAAATAGAAAGCGAATTGTAATAGATAGAGGAGTATGGAGCAAAGTGCAAAAAAACTCTTTTTAAATAAGTTTTTCATATGCGTAAAGTGAAAAGTGAAAATTTTCTCTCCAGGCGCGCTTATGTGACTTATACAAAATTGCTAGGGGCATTTAAAAAGCAGACTTTTTGGGCATTATAGTCTTAAAAAATTGAACAGCAATCGTATTACTACAACCATTTTTTAGAATAGTCCTTTCGTTTTATTCCTCTTGAGTAATACTACGATGCCTTCGGTTTCCTTTTCCTGCCTTCTGGATCAGCATTTTGAGCGATCTGGTTTTATTGTTATTTATAGATACGTTTTTAAGGAGACTTCTCTCGATATAATTGGTAGGCTTGTGTCATCCTATAGCAAATTGTTATTCAATTTTCGTTTTGCTTCAAGCCTTGTACGCGTAACTTCTGTCTTGACTAAGTATTGAATATTTTCGCTTGCAAGTTAAGGTACGGTGGTAGTGATATAATATTAACTTTAACTAAAACCAAAATTCGGAATGCTGACAACAGGTTAAAAACGTTACCAAGTCATTCAGTTCAGTGACAGAAGCCGCTATTGTTCGATTAATTAAAAAATTCAGTATTAGTTTTTGACAAGTCGACCCCCGCAGCTTTGCGCTGCCGTTTTTATGCTCCGTTGCATTCACATCCCGATTAACAAAATGTTCATTTTTCTTTGCTTCTCTTCCAAAGGGATTTCTTTGAATTTGCGTGACAGTTTGCACTTAATTTTTGACTCTCATTTTTCTTAGTGTAGCATCGTTTTAGTTCAAAGACTTTTTTGTCTCCTTTCAAATTAAGGATATTCAGTTCCTTTAAAACATTTCAAGCATTCAATTAACAAAGTTCATACATTCGCCAGAGCTAGCGGTTGTTTACTTAGCTTTTAGTCAATCATATCAATCCCAGTACTCACACAGAGATACACTCGCGAACTTGCTGATCAGTAGATGACTGACTACAACCGAAGAAGCAGACAAGCTTGTAAATTAACTGCTGGTGCTACATTTGGGAAATGTACTCAGCTACCAGCTATTGACTAGTAGAATGACGGGCATGGTCGAGTAAGCAAGTGCCTGACGGACAAAACGCTAGATCTATAATGAAAAATATCAATGGCCATGTGTCTAATGAAAAGCGGTTGCATAGAAATTATTAGCGATCATATGCAAACGGATAGAAAAGAGAACAAGTAGAACTGTTCCGCTAAACGTCTATAGTTACGTAAGATGTTAATTAACATATATATAATAAGTCAATATGCCATGTATCAAAAGTGGTGTAGGGTATAACAAGTAAGAATATCGTAGACAGACAAGATTTTTTCGAATCTTACATATAAACAGTACGGGCGCCGTAATGTAAATGTAGAAAATTTCAGCATTCTATCTCTCATAATTTGTGAGTAACGAGTGAGTAACCACAAATCTTTGTTTAGACAGCTGTGGGCTCTGATCAAATTGGCCTATTTTCAACCAACTAACCTGCGTGCAAATTTGAACTTGAATTTAATTTTTGCAACCACATCACACACTGCCAAATAAACGAGCAGACATGGCCTAATCAATTCAGAATTTCATGCCGTTCGAGTGTGTAACGTTTCTGAAGCTTCCCTCTGGACGTAATGTTCCGCAAACTTGTATGCAAAGTGAGTATACACCTCATCTTTCGGTGATGGGTGTAAAGATTTGGTTATGTACAAAAGCTTTTATTTCAATGGACCACAAGGTGGAATATCAATTTTAATTCATTTGCTTATTTAAGACTATAATTAAAGGGCGGGTCGCTAAAGCTTTTAATTGTGGTGAGTATGCGAGACTCGACTCCAGCCGAATATAACTTTCTTACTTGCGTTCATATAAAGACTGCTCAATATAAGGCCTTATAGGCGAAGAGATCGATAAAGTGGTCCGATCCGTATCAGGGGTCTATCTCACGGCCTTCTGTATATTAGATACGTACGCACAAACTGAATATATCCTGTGGTGGGGGTTGTAGTGACGATTTAACGCAATCAATGTGTCATACGTAAAAAACGTGACATTATATTTTGTTTTATGTATAATGAATTGCTTTTCTCTCATTACATGCATTTGTTCGTGCGATATCTATATACAGAAAGCTTACACATTTAATCCATGAAGAAATCGCACGAAATTCTAACAAAGAAAGTTAGTCCTAAAATATAGTCTGTAAAAAGTGAACGCAGTAAAATTCGACCACGTAGCAGTTGACTACTGTTTGCTTATTTAGAAGATGATTTTTTTGTAATTGCACTTTCAAGTGCAATTTTAAAATCATAATATGAATGTTAAAAAAAAAAGTTAAATATCAATTAAATTTTTTAATTAAATAAATTTTATTTACCAAGTAATAATGGATAAAGTTTGAAGTGGATTTCGGACTTACTTTCAAGATGTGCTGTAAGATTTCTTAAAACATATATAAATCATATCCATGACTGTATAGCGGTTTTTTTTCTAACACAACCAGTACTCGTCGTGAAAAATATGAATATCAGACAACGCTAAAAGTGAGTTGCTATAAATAAGATTCACATAAGATAAGTTGCTATAAATAAGATTAAATTCATAGCGAAGCTATAAAATATTGAAAAATCTGATCAGAATTGAGTGTAATCAGTAAAACTAAAGCAAGGTGAACAATATGTGTGATTATGATTTGTTCCTAATCGAACGTAAGCGTACCTTTTAGTATTATCTACGTTATTATTGACAAGGAGTTAGGATAACGTAGATGCTATCAAGCTCTTCACATGTACGCCAGGGATACGTTCATAAGATTATAAAAAAGCTTATAAAAAACACACATTACAGCTTGTCAAGCTTTTTGACAGAAAGTTATTTTTTTAAAAAAAGCTTCAATAAAATCATTCAACTTCTTTTCATCCATTTGCATGTGCAAGAAACGATATTTAAAAAAAAGCTGCAGTAAGTTCTATAAAACCCTAAAAGAGCTCATTGAAGTTCTATGAAAATGAAAAAAAAGTGCATTGAATTTCTATGAAAATGAAAAAAATATGATGTATTAATTGTTCGCAGCAAATGTAGCATAATTACGTTATCAAAGTGGCTTTAGTTTTCAG